CTGATGATGCTGTTGCTGATGTTGTTGTTGATGTTGTCGTTGATGTTGTTGTTGATGTTTTTGACAATATCGGGCATAACCAAACGTCTTTTGTTGTTGTTGTTTTGATGTTGTGAGACGTTGCTATAATTGCAGTTGTTGAGGCTGCTGCTGATGTTGTTGTGGCTGTTGAATCGACTGCCATCATTATCCACATTACAACAGTTATAATCGTCGTCATCGTATTTTCTTTTGTTTCTGTTGGTATTGTTGTTGATGACGTTTGCCTTGTTAGCATAGAAACCTGTGCTACAATCCTTGACGCTGTTCATCTTCCTGTTGTTCGCATTAAGCTCGATGACGTTTTTATTGATGACGTCATCTTCGTCGTCGTCGTCATCACTGACGTCATCGCAATCGTCATCTCCATCAACAAGGTCGTCCTCATCATCTTCGTCATTGTTTACGTCACGCTTGTTCCTTGAGGCCATGTCGTCGTCATTGTTGTTGTTGTTGTTTGTGTTGTTGTTGTTGTTTTTTGCGTGGACCTTCATGTGTTTCCTCAGCGATGACGGGTGTGTGTACATTTTATCACATGCCGGATGTTTACAAACGTACGGCTTCTCATTGGTGTGCACGTGACTATGCTTCTTCCGGTCGCTGCTGTTGGCGAACTTCCGGTCACACCCGGGATGGTCGCAGTGGAATGGTTTCTCGCCTGGTAAATGAAAGTGAATGGAAGTTAAAATTAAAAAAGTTGAAAATTAAATTAAATCAGATGCGAATTTTAAGAGAAAAATTGCAGGAGAGAACGAGAAAGAAAAGAGAGTGAGAAAAAGAAAAAGAAAGAGAGAGAAAGAAAGAGAGAGAATGCAAATAAAAGAAAAAAAAGATTATTAATTAGTCCGTAGATGGGAGTAAATATGGCAACATCTCGATCAAGTGAGCGAAAATGTCCGGAGTGTTGAAAAATTCTTGAAGTTATAAAATACAAAAATCTTGTATCTTATCTTTCTTTTTAACAAAACGGCACATCCACACACTTACACATCCACACACACACACACAAACAAACAAACACACAAACAAATATACACACACACATTCTTGAATCACACATGAATATTTCTTGGAAACATGATTAAAACTTTTAAACATTAATACCAGCATGATACAACGTTACACTGAGGAAAATTACCCGATAGTTGTGTATTTTTGTGTGTGTAATTTGCTTGTATTGAAAAATTTCATTTATCAGTTGTTAGTGTTCAATTTTGTATGGTATGTTTGCTGATGGAACCAAAGCAAGGTGACACATATGAATGAATTGGAGTTTCGGGAAGAACATCAATTTAACCAACGTCAACTAATTAGTTAAAAATTGTTTAAAATCTTTAAAAAAAAAGATTTAAAAGACCGACATACCTGTGTGAGTTCGTTTGTGTATTTTGAGGTTCTCACTTCTGGCAAAGACCTTGCCACAGCCGGGATAGTTACACGTGAACGGGCGCTCTCCAGTGTGTACACGGATGTGGTTGACCAATTTGTATTTCGCTTTGAAAGGCTTGTATTTTCGACAACAACCTTCCCACATACATACAAAAGTTTGTTGTTGTTGTTGTTGTTGTTGTATGTTGTTGTTGATTGTTGTGTTGTTGCTGCAGCTACTGCCGATGTGATCGACGCCTATGTGCGCTACCAAATCATGCATTGTTGTGAAAAATTTGTTGCAGATTTTTACGTTGTTGTTGTTGCTGTTTTTGTTGGAGAATGTTTGTTTTTGTTGTTGAAGACGCTGGTTGTTGCTGCAGTTGTTGCTGCTGCTGTTGCAATTGTTGTTGTTGTCGTCGACTGCTACTTTGGTCCACTGGCAAAACAACTCAACCTTGACATTGCAACTTTCAAAAATGTTTCCATGAATGTTGTTGTTGCTGTTGTTGTTGTTGTTGTTGTAATCCGTCGTTTGATGTAACTGCAGTTGATGTTGCGCGTTGATGTGAGCGGGGAACGGGGGTAACGATAGCGATGGGGCGTTGAATGGCAGGCCCGTAAATGGGTTGTGGGTCAAAAAGGGGGATGTGTAACTTGCCAATGTGTTGCTGTGGGGGTGGTTGAGACTGCCGTTGTTGTGGCGTAGACATTTCAACAGTTTATCATCATCGTTGTAGTTGTTGACGTAATTGTTGCAAAATGATTTTGTCGCCTGTAGCAAATGTTGCGCGTTTAAATGTTGTTGCTGTTGTTGTTGCTGTTGTTGTTGTTGTTGCAGAAGTAAGTGTTGATGTTGAGTTGGCGATGAAGAAAGTTTAAAAATGTTACAATCACTCAAGTAATTCGGAGAATTTTTCGCTTGCTGTTTTTTATCACCAACACCGTCTTTCTGCTGTAGTTGTGTTGTTGTATACGTGTTGCTGCATTGGTCACTTGACCGAAGTAGTAGTTGTTGTTGCTGCTGCTGCTGATGATGATGATGGTAGTAGTTGTTGTAGCAGTTGTTGTTGTTGCTGTTGTACATGTAGTT